TTGCTAGGACAAAGCACCTAGCACCCACAACTTAAAGGAGAAGAGGGCTACTTTGGTGCATTAAACTTGGTGAGTTTAGTCCCTATTTAGCTGGCTCCAAGCACGGTAGATGGGCATGATGGAGAAAAGCAGCTCATGACGTGGGAACCAGGAAGTAGAGAGAAAAGATGGGATAGGAATGGCCCCTTCCAGGTTACCCCACCCCCCACCCCCGTGATCCACCTCTAACCAGGCCCCACCTCCTAATAGCACATTCAGCTACTGAACTCACTAGTGGATGAAGTCATTGATTACTACGTCACCCCCACAGTGCCATCAACCTCCAAACACCTAAGGCTGTGAGGGGACATTTTAAACCACAGTAGACACTATATCCTGGCCTGGCCAACTGGACAGCCTGGGATAATGCCCAACAGATGAACTCTGGCCTTCTGGAGAGGACAAAGTCCTCAATATGCACACTACCATCACCTGCCACTTCAGAAAACGCAAGCCTAGGCACCACCCAGCTATGAGTCTCCTCAGGCAAACTCTGTGTGGTGCAACCCCACTAAGCCCTTCCCCTGGGGAGGCCAGGCATGGGAGAGGTCAACAGAACCAAGTCAAAAGCATCCCCTTAGGATACTCTATCTGAGTGGGTCAGCATTTCAGGAGAGGGAAGAGCCAGCATTCCAGATGTGGCAAGAGAGAGAGCTTAGAGTTTCTTGCAATCTATGCAGCCTCACATCCCTCCAGAAACCCCACCAATTACCTCACTTTCTCATCTATAAACCATCTACTGGGCAAGATTATAAAGATCTAGCAAGGAGTTAGGATAGGGGAGCCCCTCTGGTTGAGGCTGATGCATGAAGCCTGATCCAATCTAGGACTGGCAATGTCATCTTGGATCCCTTGGACAGCTTTTTTTGCCCTTGGTCCCTGAAGTTCCTCCTACAGGGAGTATCCTCCTGAGGTGCCACATCTGTACACAGCTAGGAGTGTCAGTTGACTGCATACGTGCTCAGGGGCATTTTGTGGGCAGCAGCAACAGGATCTAAGCAAAAGGAGCCCAGGCCTAAGGGAAGACTCAGCAAGAATAGAAGCCCACCCCTTCCGAGCAAGTGGCCACTTTAAGAAACATAGATCAGAGAGGCTGGGACCACGTGGACAGCAAACATCTTAGAACTTCCTTCTCCTGCCTAAAATCGGCCCCTCAGTTTCTCCATGACTTCTGACATGCAAACCCTGCCTCATCCCCAACATTAAAGCTCTTCCTCTATGTGGTCACCAGAAGTCTCCCTCTTTGGGGCCTAGGCAACAGCTGCAAGGTGAACTTGACTCATGGTGGGCTGTGGCCTGGCATATGTGTTTATGTACAGGTGTGAAATCTGGCAGTTATACCTTCCTCTTTAGCCAGATTTCTCCATGACTCCTCTGCACCATTCTTCTCTTGACCAACCATCAATAATTATATTGTAATTTCCATGTCCTGGGCACTGCTGTAAGTGCTTTAATTATGATAGTTTATTTAATCTTTACAACAACCCAATAGAAAGATAGTATTATTTATTTTCATGTTAGAGATGAAATCATGGCACAGAGAGGTTAAGTAGCTTCTCCAACGTCACGCAGCGGAGGCAGTGTCAGGTTCTGTAACTGCCCAACAGTTCAGGCCATCTGAACTCAAAGACCAGGTGTTTTATCTGCAAGGTTCATTGTACCCTGAACATAGAAAGCTTGCAATCCCATCTCTGAAATTTCAGCCCCAGCCTGGGGCAGTTTGCTGAACAAGAACAGCCACTAACAGTGAGGGTGGGCGTGACCCTTAAGGACAAGCTGAGGCAAGCTTCAAAGAGCCAGCCCTAGCACAGCAGCCCTGGGAGGCAGTGCCACAGACGCATCCGCTTGGCATGTCAGCAAAGAGGCAGCGGACTCCAAGCTCCGCTGCTTCTTACCCTTACAGTCCACACAATGACAAGCTCTGCAAATAGCGGCCAGAGCCGTGGGACTAAAGAAGAATCCTCCTGTGTGCACAGCTCGGAAAGGACACACACGCACACACAGAGCAGCCGTCCACAGAAGCGCCATCTTTAAATAGAAAAGATATCCTGAAATACACTCTGAGCTTGCGGGTGTTCGCATACACAGAAACCCAGGGCCAGGGCTTGCTGAGTGACTGAACAAATGCCTCAGCTGTGCCGTAAGTACGCAGCAAGAGGAGGAAATAATCGAGTGCCCTGGCAGCTCCTGACTTTCAGTTCCTATTTAAAATGTCTGAATCGGGAGCATCGACAAGCTCCCAAATTAGCTTTTTAAATAGAAGCTGAGAGTTAAAGGAAAAGCGGCCGTGTCATGGGGGAAAAGCAAGTGAAAATCCTGGCCAGGCCAGGCCAGGGGGGGGGGGCAGTGCTGGAAAGAAGCTGTGGAGAGCTGGGGGCCAGGGAGGGCTCCAGAGTGTCCTCCTGGACAGCGGCTCTTCCAGTTATCCTGGTGCATAGACCTCGATTTTTCCCTCCCTGTCTCTCTTGTGTTTTCCAGGTCACCTGGCTGTGGAAAGGGCTGTAAACAAGACTGGGATCTAACTGTTCATACTTTCCTGTAGATCTTCCAGACAAAACAGACAAAAAGAGTCCCCAACTATTGCACATGACAGAAGCCTGGGAAGAATGGGTGAGAAGGGGTGGGGCAAGGTGTCTAAATCAGTGTCCTGGCATCCTATAGGGTTTACAAGATCCAGAACACCACAACTTCCCCTTAGTTGACTCCGCAGTTGGAACGACATTGCCAGCTAACTGTTCCCTGAAGTCCCCAAACTTTGGGGTCTCCTCAGCCTCTGAGCTCCCCTCAAGATGCAAAACAATGGTGAGAATGTACAGGAGTTCCAACTTGAGCAGAAACAAAACAGTGGGTTTCAACTCTCTCAGCTGGGACATGGGGTAAAAGAGCAAAGGGTCTTGCCCCTCTTGGGCCCTCCCCAGGCAGATTGAAGCACCTTCTCCAAGGGGTCAGAGCAGTTGAGGTTGGCAATACTGAGAAAATCAGCTCTTTCCTAGAGGGTGGGAGGGAGGGAGGTTCAGTGCCAGGGCCTTCCCTGAATTCTTCCCAGGTCTGCCAGGGAGTGGCAGTGTTGTTAATCATTATTACTGTATGCAAATCAGTATGCAAATCCCACACAGCTCTGGGACTCCTGGTAAATGCTAATGGGACCCACGCCCACCTTTTGAAGGGCCAATTGTGCACCTTTCAGACTGACACACTGAGTGGGCACTGGGGAAAGAGAGAGGAGAGAGCTGATGAATGAGGGGATCCAAGCTGTCAGGGGCCCACAAAGGCTCAAACAAAATCTGCAACTGATTTTTGGCTCGTGCCCATTAATCTGAAATCAGATTAGTGATTGTCACAAGCCAGAAGCCCCATTCTGCATTTAGGAAAGTCTTCCCAGAGCAGGTTCCAGAACTACCTTTGCACACACCCCCTCACCCTCAGCGCACTCAGCATGTTTCCCTAGCTCACACACCTCTCCCTACTCGGAACTGTGGTTGTTGGAGCCAAGGGTTCCGAGGCACGGAGCTGCCGAGCCTCCAGAGCCCCAGGCCGAGGTCTCAGGTCTCGGGATTCCTCACTAGGAGCCAGAGGTGGAGGGAAGCCAGGCCAGCGCTCCTCCCAGGGCCACCCGGAGGGTGGGAACCTGGGCCGGGCACTCCATTCCTCGGGAGTGCCCTAACCCTCCGTCCCCAGTCTAGATAAAGACACCAAACAGCTGGGTTCTGTGAGCTACAGGGTGGGACCCAGGGGCTGGGCCAGTTTATGCTAGCGGAAAAGAGTGGGCTCCCTGTCATGCTCCTGAGTCCAGACTTAACTGTGGCACTTGGGTGCACTTGGCGCCCAGAAGAGCGCATCCTGACCTTCTGGCTGTGACCTAGCGCCCCAACAAGAGCCAGGCTCTTGCGTGGGGTGAGGGCAGCGCGCCCCCTCAGCCTCTCCGGCCAGGGCACACGCCGCCAACAGCCTGGGCCAGCCACGAAGCCTGCTAGGTGACCCGCGCTACCTCACTCACCAGGTGGCTGGGCGCTACTGCTGCTTCACCGACAGGGAGCCAGAGACACCGAGCTAGAAGCACGCCCCGCGCGCCGGCCTTCCCCGCACCTCTCCCGCGCGTCCAGCAGCAGACGCCCCGCGCTCCGGCTCACGCCTCCTCCGGCTGCCCCCACCCACCAGCCGAGCTCACCCCGCCAGCCACCCCGTGCCCACCCTAGCCGGCACACGCGCTCACGCCGGCGGCGCCCTCCACCACCTCCAGGCACACCCTAGGATTCCTCCACTCGCCGGGAGACGCACAAGCTCAGCTTCGCCTCCCTGCCCCCAGCGCCCCTCACGCGCGCACCCCTCACCACGCATACACACACACACACACACACACACACACACACACACACACACACACACTCACGCACTCACACCCGCGAGCCGAGTCACTCCCCCTCGCACGCCCTCGCCCCGGGCACCCTCCCGCGGCGAGGTTCCGGGTCCTCCTCCTCTCGCCCTGCGCTGCCTGGCGGCTCGGCGCTCTCGGGCCGGGCCTGGGGCCGCTGGGCCGGCGGGGATCTGTGGGGAGCCCAGGGCGCAGCCTCGCCCCCGCCCCCCGCCCGCTCCCCTTCCCGCCCCGCCCGCGCCGCGCCCCCACTGCCTCCCCCGGAGAGGGACCACGCGAGAAGCAGCCTTCGGCCGGCCGGCTCCGCTCCGCGGCGGGGGCAGGAAGCGAGCGAGGGAGCCCGCGAGCGGAGCGGCGAGGCGGGGAGGGGACACGCTACCGAGCTGGGGCTGGAGCGGCGGCGGCGGCGGAGGAAGAGGAGGAGGAGGAAGAGGAGGAGGAGGAGGAGGAGGAGGAGGAGGAGAAGGAGGAGGAGGAGGAGGGAGGGCCCCGCGGACGGACGGACGCACGAACCGACCGAGGGAGGGAGCGAGCGAGACTTCGCCGCGAGGAGGAGCCGCGCGAGCGGCGGCTGCTGGGCGCTTCCCCGCGCTGCTGGGCGCTCGGCGCCTCGGCGGCCCCTGGCTCGGCTGCCTCGCGCGCACGCGGGGTGCGGGGCCTGGGGCTGGCTGCGCGAAGGTAAGAGGGACGCGACCGCGGCTTCTGGAACCGGCAAGTGCGCGGAGCGCGGCTCCCACGCCTGTTGCTCCAGCTGCCCACGCGGCACCCTCCCACTCGGCACCGGGGTGGGTGGGTGCTGGGGCGCCGGAAAGATTGGGGGTGGGGGCGGTGCCGAGGGGGTGCGTGCAGCCCGCCCGGGGGCGTCGGTTCCCTCCGGCTGTGCGGCTAGCTCCTAGCCTCCGGGCGCTGTGAGGTTTGGGGGTGGGGGTGTGAACCTCTGCCCTCTTTCCGTTGGCCTGCCTGCCCAGTGGGGAGCCCCAGGAGCCGCTGCAGGTGGCGAAGGCTTGCTCCGTCCCTGCTCTTTGTGAGCCGTGAAGGAGAGAAATGGCTGAGAGTGGAAGCTGGGAGCGGTTTGGGGCGCTTCGCAAAGTTCTCCAGCTCGGTGAGCCTGCGGTGTGCCGGTGTGCCCACGGAGGCCGGGGACCGTCCATTGGTCCTGTCGGGCGCCGCTTCCACCCTGCGAGCTGAGGGAAAGGTCTCAAAGTGATAACAGAGGCCACCGCCACGGGGGAAAGGGTTCCTACGACTTGCGTTAGGGGCTGTTAACCCTGGGGATGGGAGACTGAAGGGGTTGGGCAGAAGTTACCCAGAATCAACTAAATTCCTGTGCTTGCGTAGTGGTAATATTTGAATTAGGTCCAAGATGTTCTGCTTTTATCCTAATAACTCAGCAACAGGCTGAGATTCCCAGACCTGGAATCTTACACCAAGAGAAGGCAGCTTGTCTTTCTTAAGAGGAGTATCTGAACTTTTTCGGGGTCCTGCGCACATGGTAATGTTTGTAAGATCAGTCAGGCATCGCTGTATTTTGTATGTATGTGTGGGTTAAATTGACAGCTTATTACTGTTCCTTCAAGGGGGCTGGATGCTTAGTACCTGTACAAGGAGCTCCTGGGCTAGCAGTAGTTCAGGGCAAAGCATGTGTACATTTCTCCCATGTAAACACATGTTGGCATATAGAAAAGAATTGACTTTGTTTTTCCTTGTTACTACTTGAAAGTAATGAAATGTGAATGCATAAACCCCTCCCCTCATAGAAGAAAGATGAGTAACTCCTTCTCTTTTGCAGTTGAGGAGGCTGGAGAAAGAGTTCAGGAAAGTGCCCTGGGCAGCCCAGGAGTGGCACTGTGGGGAGGAGGATCTCTGTGTGTCCCAGGCCTGCACCCTAAGGATTTCCAGCTTGGTTCACCCTATCAATTTCATGCTTGGCTGCCTAAAATACCACGGGCACAGGAAAAACCTTTGGGTGGAGGGCATTTTCCCCTGACCTATGCCACCCCTATTCTGGCATAAGGATTTTGATGTAAAATTACTACGGAAAGTAAGTTTCCAGAGACTCCTGTGAGGTCAAGGAAGGGCAAACCCTGGAGATGTGACATTGTTGGCTGCCTCGTGTCTGTGCCCAAGGTAGGTGTCAAATCCCAGGACAGGCTGACTGGTCATCCTGCCTATTTCTGTTCCTCTACCTTCAGAACAGAACCGTTTAATGGGGCAGCTGACTTTTGAAAGCGGGGGAAATTTTGCTTCCCTATTCCAGAATATTTTTTCGTTATTATTTCAGAACTTACCTGTTTCAGATATCTCTTCCCCAGTCTCCCCCCCCCCAGCTTTCCTATTGTCAAACTCTTCTGCCAAAAACAAAAATAGCTTCAGATTTTTCATTTGTAAGGCGTCCACGTCCTAGTAAAATCTTGGCATTTGAGGCATGTGCAGTGCTATTGGCTGGAAATGGGGCCGCGCTGTGGTGCCTGTTGCAGGATTCATACCCAGGCCGGCTCAGGGAGATGCTGGTGATCGCTGCAGGAATGACCTGGCTCAAGCAGAGCCAGGGTGGGACATTTGTCCTCCCCTTCCAAGCCCAATATGTGTACAGAGCAGTTATGTGCATGTGTGTGGCAGTGCACAAAGAATGTGGCAGTGGGTAATTGTTCCTTGTTTGGTATCTTTTACCCAGGAGACTGGATTTTGAGTCAGTCTCTAGAGACAGCCTGGTGCTTGCTTGGCCTTCTTTAGGATGATTGTTCTGGATTAATGTTTGGGGTAAAGTTTCAGCCTTGGGATCAGAGACTTTATCATAGATAGGGATGGGTTTATTTTTGCCTTCTGAGTTTTCAGGTATCTGTATCTGTACACCGTTTGTAAAATACTTATGGTTTTTGGAGAAGGGCTTAGCAGGGCCAGATGCTCAATCCTGCAGCTCAGGAGTCAGGGTGGAACAGTACATGGATGGGAGGCAAGGGGTGCTGCCCTCTCCGGGTGCAAAACTCTGTGTCTGGCCAAGCAGGGCTCCCCAAGGTGCCTCCTGATTGAGCAGTCACTTGCTTTTTGCCACTTGGACCCCCTCCAGGTCCCACTTCTCCAAGCCCTGTTCCGGGACAGTAATATAAAGAGTCAGATGTGCAGGGCTCCAGGTTTTACTCTCCAGAAGGGTCACCGGGGCTTACATGTGCATGGACCAGGCCTGTGCATGGACCAGGCCTCAGGTTGTCTTGGGTTCCAAGTGATACAGGTTGAGTGCCCTTTTGTAGGCACCACCTGGATCAGGAATTCCCAGAACTCCCTCTGCTGAGATGAGGGTCATGCTAATTGCATCCCCACAGCAACAAGCCCAGAGGCTCTATATCCCGCTTTGCATGAACACTTGTCATGAGGCCATCTTGGTGAGACCTGGGCTGTAGCCTCCATGTCCTGGATCCAGTAGAATCAGGGATCACTTAAGCTGAAGGGTCCCCTTGTTACCTTCTTACTAACTTCTTTTTTATAGATGAGAACTCAGAGTGTAACAGTGGCTTACTTTCACAAGCTCAAGATAGAATTGAAAGTGGAGTTTGAGGCTTCCAGAAGCCCTTGTTCTCTGCTGCCTGGGGAGGATGAGGAAAGGACTGTCAGTATCTTACTCTCTTCTGTTGAGTAGGTCAATATTTGGGTCCACCTTTGAAGACTGTCAACTCCTGATATAGGGAGCTAAGACCCTTCAAAGGAAATTTTCTAATTCTCAGTTTCCTTACCTATGAGCTGGGGGCACAAATGTCATATGATGTTTATGGAACTAAATTCAATGTTATGTGTAAAAGTGTCTAGGACAGTGTCCAGAACATTGTTCATACTTAGTAAATGGAAACTAAGCTAGAATCGCCTGTGACTGGCATCTGTCTAATGGACTGCTAGTTCTAGCTCCTTTGCCTCTTGGAAACCTAGCCAAATGTGTGCTGAGGGAATGCAAGTCTAATCTGAAGAAAGCACAGCTCACCATAGGGGTATATTTCTTAAAGATGTGCGATGCAGGATGTGTTCCCACATCTTCTGTCAGTTGCATGAAGATTACCCTCTGCTGTGGATGAATGGCCCCCATTCTTTCCCTGGTTTTCTCAATTCCGTAATCAAGAGCCCTTCAGGTCAATGCTGTTTTTCTATGTTGAGTGGGGACATTTACAGGGAATGTCACTGTCATTCCTGTTGTCTTCTATAGCATCGAAATGAGCCTCCTCTTTTTAGTGAACAAAGGAACCTGTGAAAATTTCACTTAGCATGTAGATGGGGAAATTGAGGCAGAAGCCAGTTCCTTGAGGAAACTTGACTGAAGCTAAATGGTAAGTCAGAGGCAGACTCTTGATTCTTGAGTTCTTATTTGATTGAGCTCTGTCTTCAGAGGTCATTATCTGTTTAGAAATACATTATTATTAGCAAGGCATGGAACACAATTGATGGAATACAAATGGCCTGGCTATACATTTGAGTGTACATTGAGAATGTCTGGGTTTAAATATCCCTACTTAGTCATTACATGCTTTAGACAACTATTGCAAGTCTGTATCCTTCATTCCTTATCTAGAAAATAAGGCTAAAGTGGTACCTGCCCCATAGGGCTTTTGAGGGGATGAATGGAAATGGTTCAGGGAAGCATGAGGGACTTTCCCCGCCAAGGTCCTGCTCTGTAAACTTCCTGAGCCAAATCCCTATCCTGCTCCTTTGGGGCTGTCAGACTGCTACATGTCTGTGAGCTTCAGTTTTCTTTGCCCGTGAAACAGGTGACATGATAGACTCCTCTTCCAGGGTGGGCATGGATCCCATGAAGGCAGTAAGAGCTGATGTGTCATTATTTGACAACTTTTAGAGTAGAGCCATGAGAAAGACAGTCGGGGTGATAGGTCTGGAGTTGTGAATAAAGAGATAACCGAAAACCTCCAGTTTCAGAGCCATCCAGCGAGAAAAGTCTAGTGGCATTTCAGAAGCAAGAGAAACCTCGGTCTGGGAGTTAGAGGGGAAGCAGGATTATAGGGAGAGATGAAGAACAAATCTTATTACAAGTCTTTGTGGAATAGAAAAAAATTCCAAGACTTACCTCTGCCTCATTTATTTAAATACAGTCAAATCAAGTGAATTCCAGAGGATCCAAATATTTCTGAGTTAGGATTTGTTCTGTGTAATCAGTCTGGGATTGGTGGACATGAGCGTGCCAGCCCTTAACAATTTCCCATTGCTGTTACGTGTGTTTCTGTGTCACCACATGTCTTCCTACAGATGGTATACATTTGGGGATTGCAGAGTCATTTCACTATCATCTCTAAAAAGCCAGATTTTAGAAGGTAAATCTGTTTCCCAAAGCCAAATATAATTCTCCATGCCATGGTTCCCTCCATCCTTAGGGGTGATGGAGAAATGTGGTTCAGAGGGCAGTGGGTGAAGGGGCAAGATGGCCCAGCTCTGGGAAAGCCTCTAGGGGTAGAGGCAGATCAGGTGAGTGGCTGGCATAGGAAGAAGTATTGTTACATAACCAGAGGGAGCTGAGGATGCTGGGCAGATGGAATCGGGAGGCAAAGAAATCTGGGGATGGCAGTGAGCGTGGCTCTGCTTCCTTCAGGGAGGGAGAAAGGCAGTGCGTTCTAAGTCAGGTGGACCAAAATTCCTGCAGGGGGTAGAAGTGAGGCCCTGCTCAGCCTCATAGCCATGCCCGTGTCTTCCCATTGTGGTATGGCTCTGAGGAGCAAGACCATGTCCCCAGAGAAAAAGCGTTCTGCCACAGTCATCCTTCTCTGGGGGAGCTGGGGACAGAGCTTCCTAAGCTGTGGCCTACTGTTGTCAGTTGCCACCGCTGAGAATTTTCTAGACATGGGCAACCCTAGTCACCTTCCCACCAGGGAGGAGTACAACCGATGCCTTTACCTGATTTCCCTCGTCTCCACCCCATTCCTGATTACCGTAGTGGATGAAAAGTAAAATAAAAATTAGCATGTTTATCCCACTTTTAAATTCATTTAATGAGAACTCATTTACCCTCTCCCAATTTAAATTCGTAATAATGCTATAACCTTTCAGAGCTGATTATTACCCGAGTCTTCTCGCATCTTCCTGTTAAAGAGGCTTTCCCTCCAAATGCTCCTGAGCCCTCTTGGAACTTGACAATTTGTCAGGCAGTCAGCAACATCTGGTGATCCTGCCCCTCTGCCTGGTTTCCCTGCTAGGTGCTCTCTGTATTTGAGGAAGACAGAAAAGAATCAAGTTCTCTGTCTGTGGTGATTTCAGTTTTATTAGTTTGCCCCAAAGATGTGCTGTTTCACTCACCAGTAACCTTCCCCTTCCTCCCATTTCTTCAGCGCTTCCTCTGCTCTTTCCTGTCTCACAGGGGTTGCTGAGCTAACTCCAAGCTGGTGTATAAAGTGTCCAAGCAGCTGCTGGCCCAAGAGCTGGAGTCAACATGGCGGCCGGAGTTGCGGCCTGGCTGCCCTTTGCCCGGGCTGCAGCCATTGGGTGGATGCCAGTGGCCAACTGCCCAATGCCCCTCGCCCCTGCCGAGAAGAACAAGCGACAGGATGAGCTGATCATCCTCAATGTGAGCGGGCGGCGCTTTCAGACCTGGAGGACAACGCTGGAGCGCTATCCAGACACACTGCTGGGCAGCACTGAGAAGGAGTTCTTCTTCAATGAGGACACCAAGGAGTACTTCTTTGACCGGGACCCTGAAGTGTTCCGCTGTGTGCTGAACTTCTACCGAACGGGGAAGCTGCACTACCCGCGCTACGAGTGCATCTCGGCCTATGATGATGAGCTGGCCTTCTATGGCATCCTGCCCGAGATCATCGGGGACTGCTGCTACGAGGAGTACAAAGACCGCAAGAGGGAGAATGCCGAGCGCCTCATGGATGACAACGACTCGGAAAACAACCAGGAGTCCATGCCCTCACTCAGCTTCCGCCAGACCATGTGGCGGGCCTTTGAGAATCCCCACACCAGCACACTGGCGCTGGTCTTCTATTACGTGACTGGATTCTTCATTGCTGTCTCTGTCATCACCAATGTGGTAGAAACAGTGCCATGTGGCACGGTACCAGGGAGCAAAGAGCTGCCCTGTGGGGAGCGCTACTCGGTGGCCTTCTTTTGCTTGGACACAGCCTGTGTCATGATCTTCACGGTGGAATACCTGCTCCGGCTCTTTGCAGCACCCAGCCGCTACCGCTTCATCCGCAGTGTGATGAGTATCATTGACGTGGTGGCCATCATGCCCTATTACATTGGCCTAGTCATGACCAACAATGAGGATGTGTCCGGGGCCTTTGTCACACTCCGGGTCTTCCGAGTCTTCAGGATCTTCAAGTTTTCGCGCCATTCCCAGGGCCTGCGGATCCTGGGCTATACCCTGAAGAGTTGTGCCTCTGAGTTGGGCTTTCTCCTCTTCTCCCTCACCATGGCCATCATCATCTTTGCCACTGTGATGTTTTATGCCGAGAAAGGCTCCTCTGCCAGCAAGTTCACAAGCATCCCAGCCTCTTTCTGGTATACCATTGTCACCATGACTACACTGGGGTAAGTCAGTGTCAGCAGACCTAACAGGGTGAAGGTTGGGCGGGCTGTGAAGATCGGTATAGTATTGGGATTGGGGAGAGGAGCAAGGAGTCCTCACCCATGTCCTGGGAACCAGGGAAATGACAGCTTCAGAAGGGGAGGCCTTGAGTGCTCTGGGGTGGTAACTTGCTGTGCACTGGTTTGGAGATGAGACGTGTGTTTTATAAAGTGTGGCAAATTAAGTCACCATTTCTTTTTTCTGTCATGGGTTGAATGTGTGTTGGATGTGTATGTGTGTGTGTGTGACCGTGGCAGGGGTGAGGTTACGTGCTTGCATCTGTGCGTATAAGGTCTGTGATGGGGAAGGAGACAGGGCATTGGGTGAGGAGAAGAGTACTTCGGGAAGTTCAGTGAATATTATAAGAAGATGCAGATTTTCTTCACCAGAAGATACTAAGAGCTCCTTTGAGGATCCTTCCTGCATTTCTTCCTTGTAGTATGTTTGTAGGCTTTTTTCATTTTCCCTTGCTTTTCTTCTCTGCTGCCACATTTGTTCAAGGGTTCAGTGGCTCTGAACCTATTTTCTCTAAGTGACCCTGAATTTGGATTTTCTGCAAAGTGAGTCATATGTTTTCTTTTCTCTCACTAAAGGAGGAATAGTCTTGCTTCTTCAGCCTGAGGCAATGTTGGCATGACCCAGACTATCTGGGTGCCAGTGAGGTGATCTGAATGTATCATGTGGTCAGATAGAAGTGGTGGGCAGCAGCAGCAGCAGCAGAGAAAGGGACAGGTGCCCACGGAGGACTTGGTTGACAGTCTCTTCCAGCTCGATGAGGTCTTCTCTCCATCGAGGTCACAGCATTGTATTTATGGTGCTGGAATGTGAAGCTTGCCATCAGAAAAAGCGGTTCAAGGAGGAAATTACAATCTTCACCCTAACAGGATTAGAGCCAATAAAGGCAGCTTTATGGAGACGTAGATTTCATAGGGGTTTCTGCTTCCGCTGTTGGATGCTGTTGAGACTCATGCAAAAATCTCTCCACAATTCATATTCTGGGTCTCTATTTGCTGAGGCCAGGGAGCATTATATTGCTGATGAAGAATTCATGAACCTTTTTATTTGGTCTGTGACAGTTGGTTGGGGGCATCCTGGTGATTTGATTTTTTTTTTCCTGGCTGAAATGGTGGTGGTGTCTGTTTTTCTCTTAATGCTTCATATGCTTATTGGGAATGACTGGGCCAGTGATGGGATCTTTTAAAATGATTACATTTGTCATTCTGCCACAAAGGGGGACCAAAGAAGAGACTAAGAGGTGTCACTATCCATTTGTGAAGGCCACATGTAATAGGGGCATTCCATTTTCCTCTGTCCAACGAAAGCCATCTTGCCTCCTCCAGTTCTAGTACATGTGCACACACAGACACCCCCCCACACACAACACACATACATACCACACACACACGCACGCGCGCGCGCGCACACACACACACACACACTTTTTCAAATAGATGCTCACCCAGGATGGGTAAGAATATTTGGTTATTTGACTGTCTCCCTTGGGTCAGATGGCACATGTGAGCTTTTGGGCATCAAGAGATATTTAGGGATGGAATAGGGGAGGAGCTGCCTGTTGTTAGAAGAAAGATGCATCTCTCTTTAACCCTCCTACTCGTCAGTCTGCCTTTTGGGTATCCCAGCACTAGTCCCATTTACCAGGCCTGTAAGGTTCTACCTTCTTTAGATGGCATAAGCATATGAGATTGCACTCTAGTCACTGCCAGCCAGGAAGACATCAGTCTAATTTCTATGTCAGTCACTGTGCTAGGCACACAGAGGCATCTGTTCCTTCCAGACTGATCCTGGGCACCCTTCATCTTCCATGGCCAGGCACCCTATCCTGACCCTGGGCCTGATCCTCATGCATTAAGTCCTTCCTTCTAGGTTGTTTAAAATGCTGCCTAGAAATGATATCTTCTTTCATAGCAAAATCTAACATTTTACTGGTCCTGGGAAAACTGCTGATTTCCTTTGGCATTTTCCCTGTAGACCAAGGAGCAAGTCCAGCACTGGGGGTGAACAGTCAGCCTCACATTAACTTTCTTGAGGTGGTGGTGGGGCTCTGCTAGAGCGTTATGGCATAAAGAGGAAAGGGTTCTCTGCACTAGGGGTCCCACATGTGGGGCCTGTGGACTTTCTTCCCCACACCTGACAATGAATAAGTTGTTTTTACTTCCTCAGACATTAAAATATCTAGGTTCGGGGAGGAGAACCAAGAACCAAGTAGGCAAGAAGGAAAACCTTTAGTGGTGCTTTCTTTAAACTCAGATGAGTTACGAGAAAGAGCTCCCCCCCGTACAGCTCAGTGCTAGATCAGGCACTTTGACTTTGACCTGAGCTGGCAGTTGGCACCATTACCAGACTCGTTTGCTTGACCATACATAGCAGGTGCTTGGTAAAATGCTTTTTAATGGATGGGTCAGAGTAAATGGGGCACCTTCTCCATTTGCTAGGCCTGATATTCTTCTCAGTCCCTTTTAGATGTATCTGTTCTTTCTTGAGGGTAGATCCACGCCTGCAGTCTGCGTGCTGTGCTCTAGCCCTTGTCTCCCAGGAGAGAGGAGAGCAATATTACTGGTGACTGATCTGTCCCCTGAGACGCTGGAGGCCTCCCTGACTTGACCATGGCAGTCTTTCCCTCTCCACTGGCTGGCTTCTCTTCTGACCACATTCTCTAGTTAGTGGTAGCCTTGTTCAACCGCTGGAGAAAACCCATCTTTGTCTTATTTTACGCTGGCATTTGAGCCCCAAGGAGCTGTGGACTAGCAAGGACCGATACTCCGCCATAGTCTGATTACTTCCAACGGCTCCCAGCAGATGCCCACCTCTTCCTGTGCCCTGACCCTCCCTTTCCTGCTCCCTCCCCAAGCTCCTGTTTCTAGTTTGGAGAGAGGCTGTCTTCAGCTCCTCGAAAAGCAGAGCTGGCTGACATTCTGAGGGCCTGAGTGAAGGCACTCTGTTCTTCCTGGCTGTGGCTGCCAGCTCTGCCTGTTTCCCAGCACCTCACTGGTGAGTTACAAGGTGTCCTCTGGGGAGGGATCTCTTTGAGCCCATTATCACTGTTTATTTAATACCTCAAAATACCTTACATGTGCAAGAACAGTAAAAGCCCGAGTTGTCATGTGGGCTTATGGAGAGTTTTCTTTTGCAGCTTTCTATGCGGGTGGGGAAGACCTTGAGCTCTGCCTAAGTTTCCCTGTTGCTCCCTTGACAGTTGAGTTCCCAAATGCACCATTGAAGGATTAATTTCTGTGCTCATAATTGATGCTATAAATAAAACAAATCCCCAATTATCTCAGCTAACAGAGGAAGGGGATAACAGAACTCCCAATATTAAATAAGACCAACATAAGTAGTTTGGGAATGTATTATATGATGTAGGCTTTTTCAAACTAGATTTCCCTTTTTAATTTTCTTTTTCTTTCTTTTTTTTTTTTTTTGTATTAGGAATTGAACTCAGGACCTCGTGCTTGCCAGGCAGGCTCTGTGCCACTGAGTCATATCTCCAGCTTTGTCTTAATTTTGCTTAACTTCACTTGGCATCACAGTTGGCCTGAACCATCTAAACCAATCCATCAGGGTAGCTGGCAGGGGGTACAGCTTATGGGTATGAGGGGAGCATGGGGGAGCAAAGCTGGCAAGCAAGTGGCTGTCAGGGTTGTGGAGGGTCAGCTCCAGGTCTGGATGGGTGGGGCTGTTCTCGGATATTAGTGAGGGGAAACTGAGCATGGGAAAGGTTTGGAGCAGTGTCCACTCCTGATAAGATGACTCACTGCCACTGGTTGGCTCAGTTATATAATTGAGATCGGCAGCCTATCTGTCACCCCATTCTCTGAGATGAGAGGGCTTTTGACAGTGTCCAAAAATCACTTTAACGGAAACAAAATCGATTTTTACTTCTTCCAAGCAGGGAGCAGCCTCCAGGTGATTTGCATTTCCCTTTAAAACACAATCCTGGAAGGGCCTGCCTGAATTTCCAGAAGGCAGAGAGGCTCAGCCTGGAAGATTGAGACTGGAACAGCACGGATTGGGGTCCTTGACCAGGCACCCCACCCCCATCCCACAGACACAGAGCGAGTTTTGGTTAACCCTTCAATTTCCAGAACTCTGTCTGCCCCTTTATCCACTGCCATCAGGGTCCTTCAAGTGCGTCAGCCTGGACCACTGACTAACCATGCCTGTCTGCATGGGGGTCGGTCCCTGCCCTGCTCACAGTTTTCCAGGAACAAATAAGCCCAAATACTTTCCTTTGTTGGTATGTATTCCTTAACTGACAGTTTTCTGGTGCTAAAATTCCTAAGACGCACACTTGCATCCCAACAAGGAATCTTTCATTTGTTCAGCATTTATTGAACACCTACTATGTGCCAGACAGCAGGGTAGCCTCTGAGAATACATAAGGACTGTAATTACACATCAGCCCAATATAGAGTACAGGCAAAACGAATTAAATGGCACTGATTTCCCTTCCTTTGAGCTTGATGCTTTTCCTGCTGCAGACACTACCTCTGCTGCTCCTGTGTCTTACTGACTGACATCATTTCTTCAGACTCAGCCCAACATCGTGTCCTTCAAGAGCCCTTCCTGGCCCGCCAGGGAGCTGGAAACCCTCCTTTTGCTTCCCTTTGCTCTTTTGTCTTGTCATGACCATAGTTTATTTACTGCAGCTGTTTGTTTCTGCCCCACCCCATGTCAGCTCTCAAAGGGCAGATCTTCAGTCCAAAGGCCATTGTATGATTCATGCTTAGTATAAGGCCAGGTAGCCAGTGGGCCATTCAGACAAATATGCTTACCTGAGCTCACTCAGCTTTAGTATTCTTATTTGATGACCGTCTTTTAGCTGTTGTGAGGACTGACCACGGTGCCGTCCAGATGTTACCTATGTGATTGTCTTGGACAGGATGTCTGGGTAGAGCAGAGTCAGGGAGGCCAGCCAGGCACTCTGTGAGGCTTCAGCTACAGC